TTGCCCTGGGAGTGGCTACATGGGGTATCATCAGCAACAAGGAAAGTTTGGTTGGAGAGGAGGTGAGGAACTGCAACAGAAGAACTTCAGGAAAGGCTTATTTTAGTGAAGAGATTTTCTGGAGATTTATACAATTTTTCTGGACTTAATAACATAGTGCAAATATTTTGATCAAACATAAAAGGTAGCAGTTATTTGGAGGTGTTTGGAAGTGTTGAAAAAGTTTCTTTTCATTGCTTAAGTAAGACTTATGGTACATGCATTAATTGGATTTACATTTTTAATAGGAAATTTGCAATATTTTGAAACGGTTTTGGAATAACAAAATTAAAACAGATCTCAAGTCATATGTATAGAAGAAATGCCATTTACATGGCTAATATTGTTAAACTTTAAAGGTCTGAGGTAACTCTGAGTTAAAGCTCATTTTCTGTTATTTACTGTCTCATGCACCTTTTAATTGCTAGAATATGGGATGTTTCCCAGCACTGTACAGAAGTGAAGACCTACGAAATGGTGGGGCTGGGACAGCTGCCCTAGATCCAAACCATACACATTACATCTTTGTGGATAATGGCACAGAAAACAAGTATGGAGCAGAAATCAAATTGCGAGCAAAGTTGGAGCAGTACATCTCTGAACAGGTGGAGACTGGCATTTCAATAACAGAGAGTAAGTGATTGCCTTTTAGTTTGTTTCATTTTACTAGTAATTATGCATTGGATTTCAGCAATGTTTATGCAGCAGTTATTAAACATGTCTCCTTTGTATATGTGATTTTTTTCATTTGCATGAGTAGTGAATACAGTAATGCTGTTACTTTTGGTATACAGCCTATAAAACAGATGGCAATACCGATGTTTCAAGTTGTTTTACTGAAACTAAGGTATAGACTAGTGTCATAGTTTGACAGTATTTTCTGTCTGAATTTGTCCTTCATGCTGGGCAACCAAGTGTTGTAGATATGTGGTTTTGATTGTAAATGATTACAGATCAAAGTTACCATAATTAGAGACACAAGTAAAGATTTGCAGAGAGAGAGAGAGAGAGAGAGAGAGAGAGAGAGAGAGAGAGAGAGAGAGAGAGAGATTGACATGTGTATTAGAACAGACATTTACTTTTATTATAACAATGGCAATCTACCAGTAGTACTAGAGGTAATATCAATGATAGGTATCTACATTACTCTGTCATTCTGTTCAGGTGTCCCTGTCCCAATCATCTTACTGGTGCTGGAGGGTGGGATCAACACACTTCAGACTGTAGCAGAGGCGGTCAAGCAGGACACCCCTGTGGTCATCATTGGGGGTTCTGGAAGGGCAGCAGATTACTTAATTTGTGGCTACAAGATGACCAGAAGCAAGGAAAAGGGAAAGTAAGCACATTTTTATGATATAGCGCTACTAGAAAAAAATTGGTACATCTGTAAAATATTTATTTTATTTTATTTATTGTTTACTTATTGTTTTTTATTTAAGCTTGGAGTATTGAATTTTTTATAATTTTTTTTTTGGCTTTTTTTATCAAAAAGAACTTAGTTTTCAATAAAGGCAAATATTTAGGAACACATTGAGTGTTATGTACACAGCTAGGGACTTCTTATTGCAGAGAAGAAGAATCACAGTACCCAAGCAATTTTGAGGATGAAATGGCAGAAGAAGCAAAATCCCTGTTTGATTTACATGGCTTGGACCAAGAAGAAGTGGAAAAAATTATCAAGAAATGTTTAAAAAATTTGAAGATTTGCTTGGATCACAGAAAACTGGTATGTTTGTAATTAATACTCACCAGGCCAGCATTTATATTAGATAATTCTGTGTACAATAGTGGAAATTCTGAATTGAAGAAATGTTTTAAACAACATCATTTTTGAAAAATATAATGCAAAAATTAATATTGTTTTAATTATTTTTTTTAATAACACAATTTAAAACAGTTAATATCGAACCTTTCTGTGTGTGATGATAAATAAGTTATATTAAAGATTTGTACTTTTGTTGACAGTTAACAGTATTCCGTCTGAATGACTCCACTTCAGCCCGTGATATGGACAAAGCCATTCTGTATGCTCTTTTGAAGGGTAAGTGGAGAAAAAAATGTAACTGAAGACGCAATGAGAAAAATCTTTTTTAACTATTTAAACTATGTAAAAAGAATACTGCAAACAAAGCAGATGGTTTATTAAACTCACCGTTTAGGCACAAATGATGGCCATACCATCCATATTTTAATGTTATTTCTCAATACCTTGTGGTGTTCATATCTATAAGAAATATAGATTGTAGATTTGAAAAGAAGCTGCCATTGAAATGTAAGATAGTTATTTTGCTGTTTATAATAAGCCAACAAATCGGATGCAAGAACCCAGCTTAACTTGGCACTGGCTTGGAACAGGCCAGATGTTGCAAGACAGCAAATCTTCACACAGGACAACAGAGAGAATTGGCAGGTAAATATCTTCTTGCCACTATTGTTTGATATCATTAGTACCACCAGCGTATACGCTGGCGGTACTCGTGGTTTTAGTCCCGACCCGTCTCGTACAGCTCCGCNGTTGTTTTATTGATGGCGTTTTGAAAATTTACAAGAATCATATGAGATGTCATCTGAAAGAGTGAAAACAAACTCCATGGAATGAAGGAAAAAAGATAATGGTGCTCTATGCTCAGTTGTATATATTTTGTATGCTATTCAGATGTGATAAATGATTCAAAATATTCTTTGCTAAAAAGTTGGACTATATTTTTTGCACAAACAAGTGCTTAAATTAATTCAGTTGTATTTCTTTATGTTGCAAATAGCCTTAATTAAAGAAGGGTAGACCTGTTGTAATTGGCTGTTTGATTTATAAATTATTGTTTGATTAGAAAAGAGATTGCCTAATTTGTCATAAGTGAAATTTGCATCATTGATAGCCACAGTGATTGGCTGTTAACAAAAATACAGAATAAGGTGGTGTTTATGTATTTGCAATGGTCTAATGCTTTAGTGGTTGCATATGGTCTTCCATCTAGTTTTTCTTATGTTTTTAAACACATCAGAAATTGAAAAAGAAAACATAAATTATTAGTGCTTTTAGATGAAAAAAATCCAAAGAGGGTGTAAAAATATTCACCTTGATATATTAAGCGTAAAGGGGTCTACAATTAGGGAAGCGTAATATTCAAGAGACTGGTATATTTATCATAATATATACACTCAGTCTATATAAGGACAATTGAAGCATTGGGACAAATGGTTATTATGTTACAGTAAATGTTAGCAATGGCACATTATAGTAGTTGCTTTTTGAGACAAATTTAAAATGCTCTTTTAAGTGGGAAAAGCCTTTGGAATTCTTACCTATTTTTTTTATATAGTTTCAGTTATGATTATTTTGCTTGATGGGAGAAAACTGTAGTGTTATAGTCAAAGTTTGGAAAATGATGTGACATTCCATTCCTTGCTAGGGCAGTCAAAACTTTGACCTGGTGCCAGCCTTGTCAGTAAAATAAATTCTAGGGAAGTGCCTCCGTGGCCTCTGGCTTTGTCATATATTTTCATTTTTATTTTCTTGTAAGCTTTTTGTTAACAAAGTAAATTTCAGATTTTTAGAAGGTCAATATTATGCTTTTCAAGTTGATATATTATGGTTATTAATTGGTGGAAAAGCTCAGTTTAGTATAAACTGTTCGTGCTCTCTTTATTGTGGTAACTATATATCAGTGTTTTCCTCAGCAATTTTATTTCCATTGTTGTTATTGTTCATGTTTTGTAAGATTATTGCAGTTTATCAATAAACTGTTTGATTGAAATCAAATGAATGTCATAATATGAAAAAAAAAGTTAATTGCAGGAAAAGAAAAACCTAGTAGGCCTGCTTTTGTCAGAAAAAAAAATGACATCTTCAGGAAATGTAATGCAGTACAAAACAATACGTACATAAGTAAAATGAAAACCAATTTTATTAAAGTTTTTGCCACTGTAAAACTTGAAGTGTCTTCACATTTTTAAAAAAGAGTGTATACTTCCAAGAGATTTTGTCTGCATGTGGAGAAAGGAGCTGGGATAACTTATGCTGTCTTAGACCCCATTCCCACAGATTTTAGATTGATCTATCCCTGTGGGGAGTCTCACTAGATTACTGTCAGCTATGCCGCTTAAGCGTCTGTCCCGCCTACTAAAAGGGGGTGATTAACTACAGTGCCCGCTCGGCTGACATCAATTTAGTGTGAACCCCCAGGGAGTTAGGTCGATCTAGATGGATCTATGGGAGTGCAGTCTTAGACTCCACCTGAAGGCCATTACCATCAAGCCCGTAGCCAGGGTTTTGAAAAGGGGGTTCTTTTTCTGAAAAAGTTGACCTTTTTCCAGCAAAACTTCATATACCTAGATCAAATTTTACCCAAAGTGGACCTTTTCTCAGCAAAAGGGGTGGTTCTTTCGAACCCCAGAACCCCCCTGGCTACGGGCCTGACCATGTTTGTACAAAACAATACTATTATATTTTTTCATAGCTGATAAAAATTGCTATCAGCACGATTTCCAAATAGCTTCAATAAAAAAGGCTCTTAATTATTTTCCACAGAGTAGCTTGATTAAGTTTTGTACATTTTACCATGGAATAAGTGAAAACGTGAAAACCTTTTTTAATTGTTTAAATGCGTTAAATTAAAAAAAAACTATAAGGAGTCATTTAATATTTTCTGGTTTGAATTACGTTCATTTTTTTATTTTATTTTTTATGCTGAATAGAGGCGAAAAACTGCCATTAGCTGCACTAGTTTTAAGTAATGACGCTAGATGGCACTAAAATTTATCTACAGCTTATCAGCTTATCTGCTTAATTCTCTATCAATTTGATCATATTTTCACTGCATTTATCTCTTCAGAAAATAAGTGCTGTATAAAATTTAAAATATTTGATAACGACAAATTGCATGTGAAAGTAGTAATATAAAATGATTATTTAGGATTTGTTTTTCTAAGCCTTGTTTTTAAAATGATATAAGCGCCAAATTCCTGACTCGGCTAACTTCCTGTGATACGAATGGCAGCATTGTAAACAACTAAGCGGTGCTCGCTGTGGTATGTAAATTGAACTCGTAGCGTTATATTCGTTTCATAGAAGAAGTTAAAGATATATCATTAGATTTTATTTTGTGGGTAAAATCCATTTAAATAAAAAATTATATGGTTTTGAGGCGTTAAGATTTAGAAAAATATAAATACCTGCTTTCGCTACTTGCTCATTCTAATTTTAGCACAATTTAAATCATTTATGATTTTTATATGATTTTGTGCTAGAAACTATTGTATGTGGTAAGTGTAAAAGTGGGAATAATGAATATAAAATTAAAAAGTATAAAATAGTGATACAGCCAATGCAGTATGGAAATGTTAACAGCATCGATTATAAAAGTCACAAAACGACTAGATCTATATATAGATCTATAGATCTCTCCAACTTCAATGATTTTTTTAGTGTTTTTACTATTCTCACACAATATATTGTAGGCACATTACTCAGCAAGTGACAGTTGTCAATTTAAAGGGATAATAACTCTTCGTATGAGATCTATATTTCACAATAATATAACATTGTGAATAACTCATAGAAATATAGTATATATTCTGTTTTACCACAAAAACGGCAGTTATGGCTATTTTTTCTGATATTTGAGCTTGTCTTTAGACCACATGACCTCCATTGATGGCTATACTCTGTTAAAATCTCTTAAGAGATTTTAACAAAAAACCAAATTTTTTAGAAAAAAAAACATGGGCAAACTTTGAATGTAAAAATGGATTCATTAACCATTGGTAAGTATGGGAAAATTGTTGTTTACTCCAGGAAAATTCATTTTTTGGCTGAAACAAAGAGTTATTATCATTATCAAGAATGCATCGATCTTACCCCATGTACAAAGGAATCTATAAATAAATGTAAAAATGATTTGTAACTGGGACTTACCAAATTATAAGTAGCTTTGATGATTATAGTGTGAATTGATAAGATACCATGCCATCATTAGTAACAGGTTTTATGTAATTTATTTATATATAGTAGAAAACAATGTACTGTACTTAAATATCATACTGATATTGTCAGTGATAAGGAATATATCCACATGACATTTATCATATTGGTATTGATTGTGTTATGCAGCATAGCAGAACCTACCTGTAGTAACAGAAATGTAATGAGATGCATTGTGACTGTCCTACACAGCAGCTGAAGAGACAAGTTAATCAGTGAGTAGCTACATGTAGCAGTTAATATTATGAACCAAGCTCACAGGGTATACAACCATTTTTTTTTTAAATTTTATAACAAATTTGTAACATTTTGGTGAACAAGGTGAACAATTTTCAAAAAAAAAAAAAAAAATTTGACTTTGAAATAGATAATGAGGTAATTTCAGCCAAAAAAATCTTTTAAAAAAAATTATAAACCAGAGTTTTTAATATTTATTTACATAGTGATTAAGAGATTGCAGGTAATGCCACTGTCCAATAATTTGAAAATTATTTGTCAAAGTCTTACTAACCATATTAATAGCTATATGGATGCTGCTTATTTACAGGACTGTACTAGTATCACAACCTTCATTAGTTTTTCTGTTCATTAGTGATATCAGGATAATTGGGCAGGCTTATATTGAACAGAAAGATGTTCATTTCTGACACTTATTAAGGAGATTTTTTAAAGAAAGAGAGCTAGCAATTTTCTTATTTTCCTATATTAGTTTATAAGTGTAGATATGTTTTATGCAGACATGTTTTATGAAGGCAAAATGACACATCATCAAGGTAAACAGTCATCCTTAAAATTCAATCATTTCATCTATTCTATCTATTCATTGCTTTGTACTCAGTTAATTAGCTAAAAACACTGAATATTTGATCAAAATGATACGGAAATGTCACCTTATATTTTAATTTAGAGCTCCATACCAAGATGTCTTCTGATGAGGAATATTTCACTCCCAAAGCCACACCAGGGGGCACTTCATTCACCATACCTATTAATGCTGATCCACCTCCCAGACAAATTGGAAACAATCGAAGACTTCCTTCACTTGAACCTAGACCTCGATCAAAATCTCCCAGCAAAATACCAAAACCAGTGCCAAATGAAGGTAACTATGAAATCAGTCTGCTTAATAAAGAGTTAATTTTTAGTTTTTTTGTTATGATGAATAATATTTTTATTATCTTTTTATATTTTTTGTACAATTAATCAAAGCAATTGGATTATCACATTTGTTAACCAAGAACAACACTTAATTTTTAAATATCTGTGTATTGCTGTATTGTTATCCTTGTTTACATGCATGCCTACTCTTTATACATGTATCTGACTGTATGTCTGTTTTACTGTCTGTCCATTTTCCTGTCTGCCCATCTAAATTTCTAATAGTTGGCTACCTAGCTCTCTGTTTGTCTGTTTTGTAAGCGAAAAAGTTGTTGAGCCATTGGTATACAGCTTTTATTGTTGACAGTAGCTGAATAGGAAAATCTTCAACAAATCATTTTTTGTGATCCTGATATTGTTTGCATGTTTTGTTATCATAAAGAATCTAGTTTGAAGTTTAGTAAGCTTTAAATAATGATAATTTAGCTTATGTTTAGTTTTTCTGTTGTGATTATATATTTTAGGTGCCACTTTCACTGGTGGGGTCAGTGCTGGTCAAGACATTCCACTAAACAGTACATTCCGTATATCTAAAGGCACTGAACCTCTGTTGGGTAAAACACCTCTGTCCTCTAGTACAAAACATGTGAAGCACAAGCATCCACATGGCAAGAGTCATGCACAGAGAGGTGAGGCACAAAACCTGCAAACTGTAGATGAAGGGAAGGAAAAACACAAGAAAAGAAAAACCAAAAGAAAGCATGCAAGACATGGTACAGGTGAAAGCACTGGGACTTTTACCATAGAAAGTAAGCAAAATAGCAATGGCAGCACTGGAACTTTTACTGTGGATAATCCTGCCTTTGAAGGGGAAAATGTAAAAACTGCCAGTGTGGCATCCATGCAGAGTAGATCTACCTACATCATGTCAACAGAAGACAAGGTGGAAGATGAGGAGGCCCCAGTGGGCTTTGGATTAGGAAGACAGTTGACAAAATCTCATCGAAAAGATGCTAGAGAATCAGATATGAAGATCAAGCATAGGTTTACACTTAACAAGGTGAAGATTGAAAATTAATTAAGTATTGATTAAGCAGTTGAGTCGTACTGTTAAAGCTAAGATCATCGTAATCTCCAACCAGCCTTTTTATTGGCTTTTCATTAGATCATTAGTTTGTTTCTTTTCCTAGGATAGACATGACTGAAATCTTTTTTTATTAGGGTTCTTCATCATATATGTTTTAATATGATTTATCTTTGTTTTTTTAGGCAAAAATTAGGTCTTATGTCTCAAATCAGATTTTCCACCGAGAATGCTCAGCCTACATACCAGATCCCAAAAAGTTAGTATTTTAAATGTCAGTCAAAAAAAAAAAGGCATTTTCATGATATAATTATGGAGGCAAATTAAATGGATGAGATTTTGGTTTCTTTATTCTTCTCAAACATGAGCTTTTTCAGCGGAAAAGCCGAATTCCGCATTTTAAAATTTAATTCTGATGGTTCCTGAGATTCTTCAAGGTTTGGTGTAAATGTTCATAGTTTATTTTTTAACCAAGGCTCATGTCTGCTACTGTAAAAGTAACTATAAGTTTTCTGGACACTGTTAAAATTTCAGACATGCTTGTTCATCTATAGAATTAGTCAATCCCAGCCCTGAGCTTGATGTTTTCAAAGACAGAAATCCTGCATGCGGTAAAGTCACTTGCAAAAAAAAGTAAATACATAAGTTTTTTTTCTAATAATAGACAGATTAAATATTAATGTCAATCAAAAATTTTTGTATTCAGATTATCAGAGGGAATGTGTCAGTGTGGTCGCAGTAAAACTTGGCATGTAGATGAAGAAATTGACATTTCTAAGCACACAAAGGATGAGAAATGGAATGGAGAGAACCATTCTGAACAAGTCCCTCCAGACTGCTTTGGAGAGATTTTATTCTCTGGGTTTGGCTATGACAATAAAGTCCCTGCACCTGTAAGTTTTTCATTCTTGGTGAAAAAAATTAGGAAAATTAAAGTAGTGCATTATTTAGAATTAAGTTTTGAAGCACTAAAGAGTCTTTATGAGGTACAACTATGTAAGTTACTTGTCAAAATGACATTTTCATTCCAGTTTATATGTAAGTTTTTAACCAATTTTTCTTGTAACATGTTGACATCTTTTCCAGTACATCAGAGTAGACCATACCACTGAACGGAGTACTCTGTGGCATTTGCTCGATGATTACTGGAAGTTGCCAGCTCCTAGATTGATCATCACTGTCACAGGCGGTGCACAGAAGTTCTTTCTCAGACCTCGTTTACTGCATGCATTTAAGACTGGTTTGATAAATGCTGCAACAGGAACAGGTGAATTTTGACTGACCTATGTGAACTTAATTTCGGAGACTATAACTTGTTCTTTTCGTGTTTAGGAAATTTTTATGTAATGTGACACTTACAAGTGACTGACTTTTACCAGATAATCACTAATAACCTATGTCAGTTTTTCTTCTCTTTGTTTCACCTGCTGTAATTGGCCTGTTTTTGTAGCTATTAGGACCGTGACATTAGATATGATTGAAAGACCCTTCTTTCCTATATAGAAAACTTTCTAAATGATAAATACAAAAAAGCAGTGCAATATTCATAAAATGTTTGTATGTTTTAAGTTTATCCTAATCTTTCATGATCTGACAGTGTATCATATTCTCTGTCTTCAGGTGCGTGGGTTGTATCTGGTGGCACAAACACTGGTGTGATGAAGCTTGTGGGTGAAGCGGTCAGGGACCATTCATTTGCCTCAGATGTGGAGAGTAGCAAGATTATTGCCCTAGGAGTGGCTACATGGGGTATAATCAGCAACAAGGAAAGTTTGGTTGGAGAGGAGGTGAGGAACTGCAACAGAAGAACTTCAGGAAAGGCTTATTCTAGTGAAGAGACTTACTGGAGATTTATACAATTTTTTTTTCTGGACTAAATAACATATAACAAATATTTTGATCAAACATAAAAGGTAGCAATTATTTGGAGATGTTTGGAAGTGTTGAAAAAGTCTTTCTTTTCATTGATTAAGTAAAATTTATGATACATGCATAAATTGGATTTACATTTTCAATAGGAAATTTGCAATATTTAGAAACGGTTTTGGAATCTGTATAGAAGAAATGCCATTTACATGGCTTATACTGTTAAACTTTAGAGGTCTGAGGTAACTTCGAGTTAAAGTTCATTTTCTGTTATTTACCGTCTCATGTACCTTTTAATTGCTAGAATATGGGATGTTTCCCAGCACTGTACAGAAGTGAAGACCTTCGTCATGGTGGGGCTGGGACAGCTGCCCTAGATCCAAACCATACACATTACATCTTTGTGGATGATGGCACAGAAAACAAGTATGGAGCAGAAATCAAATTGCGAGCAAAGTTGGAGCAGTACATCTCTGAAAAGGTGGAGACTGGCATTTCAAAAACAGAGAGTGAGTGATTGCCTTTTAGTTTGTTTCATTTTACTAGTAATTATGTGTTGCATTGGATTTCAGTAATGTTTAGGCAGTCATTTAACATGTTTCCTTTGTATATGTGATTTTTTCATTTGCATGAGTAGTTAAAACATTGATGCTGTGATTTTTGGTATACAGCCTATGAAACAGATGGCAATACTGATGTTTCAAGTTGTTTTACTGTATACTAAGTTATAGACTAGTGTCATAGTTTGACAGTATTGTCTGTCTGAATTTGTCCTTCATGCTGGGCAACCAAGTGGAGTAGACATACATGTATGGTTTTGATTGTAAATGATTACAGATCAAAGTTACCATAATTAGAGACACAAGTTGAGATTTGGAGAGAGAGAGAGAGAGAGAGAGAGAGAGAGAGATTGACATGTATATTAGAACAGACATTTACTTTTATTATAACAATGGCAATCTACCAGTAGTACTAGTGGTAATATCAATGATAGGTATCTACATTACTCTGTCATTCTATTCAGGTGTCCCTGTCCCAATCATCTTACTGGTACTGGAGGGTGGGATCAACACACTTCAGACTGTAGCAGAGGCGGTCAAGCAGGACACCCCTGTGGTCATCATTGGGGGTTCTGGAAGGGCAGCAGATTACTTAATTTGTGGCTACAAGATGACCAGAAGCAAGGAAAAGGGAAAGTAAGCACATTTTTATGATATAGTGCTACCAGAAAAAAAATTGGTACATCTGTAAAATATTTATTTTATTTTATTTATTGTTTACTTATTGTTTTTTATTTAAGCTAGGAGTATTGAATTTTTTTATAATTTTTTTTGGCTTTTTTTTTATCAAAAAGAACTTAGTTTTCAATAATGGCAAATTTTTAGGAACACATTGAGTATTATGTACACAGCTAGGGACTTCTTATTGCAGAGAAGAAGAATCACAGTACCCAAGCAATTTTGAGGATGAAATGGCAGAAGAAGCAAAATCCCTGTTTGATTTACATGGCTTGGACCAAGAAGAAGTGGAAAAAAATATCAAGAAATGTTTAAAAAATTTGAAGATTTGCTTGGATCACAGAAAACTGGTATGTTTGTAATTAATGCTCACCAGGCCAGCATTTATATTAGATAATTCTGTGTACAATAGTGGAAATTCTGAATTGAAAAAATGTTTTAAACAACATCATTTTTAAAAAATATAATGCAAAAATTAATATTGTATTAATTAATTTTTTTGAATAACACAATTTAAAACAGTTAATATCGAACCTTTCTGTGTGTGATGATAAATAAGTTATATTAAAGATTTGTACTTTTGTTGACAGTTAACAGTGTTCCGTCTGAATGACTCTACTTCAGCCCGTGATATGGACAAAGCCATTCTGTATGCTCTTTTGAAAGGTAAGTGGAGAAAAAAATGTAACTGAAGACGCAATGAGAAAAATCTTTTTTAACTACTTAAACTATGTAAAAAGAATACCGCAAACAAAGCAGATGGTTTATTAAACTCACCGTTTAGGCACAAATGATGGCCATACCGTCCATATTTTAATGTTATTTCTCAATACCTGTGGTGTTCATGTCTATAAGAAATATAGATTGTAGATTTGAAAAGAAGCTGCCATTGAAATGTAAGATAGTTATTTTGCTGTTTATAATAAGCCAACAAATCGGATGCAAGAACCCAACTTAACTTGGCACTGGCTTGGAACAGGCCAGATGTTGCAAGACAGCAAATCTTTACACAGGACAACAGAGAGAATTGGCAGGTAAATATCTTCTTGCCACTATTGTTTGATATCATTTGATGACGCTTTTCCATCCAAAAGAGATGACTATGGGCATTTGAACTGGTTGCTTAGCTTAATATTACCTGTGAGTTGTGGTCACTGCAACAAAATGTTTTAAAACTTGGTTTTAACAGCTGGTTTCAAAGTCTAGGCGAAGAAGGTCTTGTTGGTCATCAAAACCTTTTGAAAAATGTGTAGAATTAGACCATGGATATACAAGCAAACAAAGTCAGTATACTGTTAATACTTTGCTTTGAATTGAGTTATAATTCTGGTACTTATTTTAGATATCTTTTTTTTTTCATCTCTATTTCAGAAAGTGGACTTGTACCCTGCCATGTACACTGCGCTGGTCCAGGACAGGCTGGAGTTTGTCCATTTATTCCTAGACATGGGTGTGGACCTCAAGAAGTTTTTAACAGCCAGCAAGCTTCAGGAATTATACTATGATGTATGTGGTGATGTATTTCTGGATTTATTAAAAAGAAATTGATTTTGGATTGGCTTTGGAAGATATTTAGGCAATTAGCCTGTCCACAGAAAAGGTCATGCTTGAGTAAGCCAAGTGAAAAATATGAGTAACTGTGAAATGATTCGGAAGGTAATAATTTGGCTAATCTGAAAGTATTTGATTGTTAAAGTACAAATTTTAAATATACAAGTAATTTTAAGTCAGTTTCATGAATTGCCATTTTGTTATTGGAAATCAGTTTCTCACATCATTTGACAGTTAAATAATGCAAGATAATAGGCAGTTTTGTGCATACCAACTGCTGTGTAACCTCAGCACTCGGTTGATTCTTACACATCCCAGGCTTCTGACTTGCATCTAACATCATAATAACAAGGACATAATAACAAATTGAATAGTCATTTATAAACACTGTACAAGAACCCCCCCCCCCCCAAACAATTATGTATCACAATTCAATTTCACATTTTGGTCATAATAAAAATATGAGATTGGTTCTACAGCTGACACTGACAGTTTTATTTGGTTCATACAGGTACTGAAAGACAGATTTTCTGGTGCAGGAGCTTTTTACTTGAAGGAGAAGGTACAACAATTGCAGGTATGGAAAACTAACAGCACAGTTTAACCCTCAATCANAATGCCTCTCTGATCCTCTAGTTTGATGACGCTTTTCCATCCAAAAGAGATGACTATGGGCATTTGAAGTGGTTGCTTAGCTTAATATTACCTGTGAGTTGTGGTCACTGCAACAAAATGTTTTAAAACTTGGTTTTAACAGCTGGTTTCAAAGTCTCGGTGAAGAAGGTCTTGTTGGTCATCAAAACCTTTTGAAGAATTTGTAGAATTAGACCATGGATATACAAGCAAACAAAGTCAGTATACTGTTAATACCTTGCTTTGTATTGAGTTATAATTCTGGTACTGATTTTAGATATCTTTTTTTTTTTTCATCTCTATTTCAGAAAGTGGATTTGTACCCTGCCATGTACACTGCTCTGGTCCAGGACAGGCTGGAGTTTGTCCATTTATTCCTGGACATGGGTGTGGACCTCAAGAAGTTTTTAACAGCCAGCAAGCTTCAGGAATTATACTATGATGTATGTGGTGATGTATTGCTGGATTTATTAAAAAGAAATTGATTTTGGATTGGCTTTGGAAGATATTTAGGCAATTAGCCTGTCCACAGAAAAGGTCATGCTTGAGTAAGCCAAGTGAAAAATATGAGTAACTGTGAAATGTTTCGGAAGGTATTAATTTGGCTAATCTGAGTATTTGTTTGTTAAAGTACAAATTTTAAATATACAAGTAATTTAAAGTCAGTTTCATGAATTGCCATTTTGTTATTGGAAATCAGTTTCTCACATCATTTGACAGTTAAATAATGCAAGATAATAGGCAGTTTTGTGCATACCAACTGCTGTGTAACCTCAGCACTGGGTTGATTCTCACACATCCCAGGCTTCTGACTTGCATCTAACATCATAATGACAAGGACATAATAACAAATTGAATAGTCATTTATAAACACTGTACAAGACCCCCCCCCCCAAACAATTATGTATCACAATTCAATTTCACATTTTGGTCAAAATAAAAATATGAGATTGGTTCTACAGCTGACACTGACAGTTTTATTTGCTTCATACAGGTACTGAAAGACAGATTTTCTGGTGCAGGAGCTTTTTACTTGAAGGAGAAGGTACAACAATTGCAGGTATGGAAAACTAACAGTACAGTTTAATACTTTTGAGGGAATACAAATGTTTTAAAGTTTATGCTGATTCTTTGTTTTGAGGGTGTCTGAAACATTTTGATTCCAAAAGTACTTCTTTTTCAGCAATCTTTTGCCAGCCGATTAAGGAGTGGAGATGGGGACCACGGGGACTTGGATCAAAACTCTGTGCTGTATAACATTGGGCGTGTGATTAACCGCTGTGTACAAGATCAGCAAGACAATTTATGTAAGCCATGATACAAGAAAATGGACCATACAGAAATATAAACCCAAGTGCATACTTAGTACATGCCATTGTAGCAAATTTGCCTTTTTTAAATTCTACAGTACAAAATTGTATATATTTAAAGTTACTTTTTTATGATTATTTTTCATTTGGCATTTAACACCCCTATAATGTGATTAAACCATTTATTATTACAAGTGATGAGTAGCAGAAACTTCTTTGCTTCTAAGTTTTAAAAAACTGTCAGTGTCAGCTGTAGAACCAATCTCATATTTTTATTTTGACCAAATGTGAAATTGAATTGTGATATATGATAGTCATACTTGTTAGGAGGGTTTCATGTACAGTGTGTATAAATGGCGATTCAGTATGTTATAATGTCCTTGTTATTATGATGTTAGATGCAAGTCAGAAGCCTGGGATGTGTGAGAATCAACCCAGTGCTGAGGCAGGCCTTGCTGAGGACATGACAAATCAAAGATATACAGAAGTGAATGAAGTTGATGAGAGAGTGAATACAATATCACAATGTGCTCCAGGTTAGTTTATTTATTTATTTTTGTTAAGATGTACAAAGGTGTGTTTGTGCCCAAGAAAGGTATATTCATTGCTTTTCTTGTATTCATCATGTAGATGAATTTGTGTGGGGCTTAGATCTGGAAAATGAATTTAAAAAAAAACACTGCAAAGCATGTTTCATGTGCAAACCAATCAGAAGTTCTGTTCAAAAAATGATTTAAATAGAAATTGTTTAGTATGAGAAATGTTAAGTAAACATAAGTAAACTGTACACCAAATGTCCACATAGAATTGAAAGATGTACTTTAATTTACTGACAACTAACAGGGGCAAAGATGAAGAAAAAAAGGACCAAACTGAAAGAAGAACAAAAATGTGAATTTGAGAGACCTGAAAAACATCTGATGCTGTGGGCAGTACTTCTGAATAGAAAGGAACTAGCAAAGTTGTTCTGGAAAATGGGGAAAGACCATATAGGTATACATTTTTTAAACACTAAAGATAAATGTTTATTGTATATGTGTAGAAAAGTCTTAAAAAAGAAAAAAGGTTTGCTGTTGAATTAATACATGTTGTATGTTAAGTGATTTACTGTCACATGTCAGCTCTCTCCATTAATTTTGTTGTATTCCTGGAAACCATTTAGTTGAATGAGATAGACATATTGGTTGTTGTTATTACAAGACAGAATGTAAGACATCTCTGTGTGTATAGAATATTAATTGCATATGCATGTGTCAAGTTTCACATACTGGCTGTTTATATCACAAGTTCTGGATGTTGTAGGAGCTGCTCTCTTTGCCAGTGCCATTTTGAAACGCATGTCAAAAGATGCAGCAGGAGATGAAGAGGTGGACTTAGCCGAGGATTTAAAAAATCATGGAGTGTATGTATAGATGTTACATATTGTATATAACTTCCAGAATGTAATTGTGCTAAATAAAAGACCAACAGAGCTAAAATGCTGTTTTTCCTTAGCTGCTTGTTGTTAGTACTGAAGAAATAGTAAAAAAGTGACAAATTCATAACTAAGTAATGACATAGTAGATGTAAACATTTTAGGGAGTTTGAGGAGCTAGCAGTTGGCGTTTTGAATGAGTGCTATTCAAAGGACAAGATCCTTGGCCATCGTCTTGTGACCAGACAGTTGCCACACTTTGGCCATGATACAGTGATGACGATAGCTGACACAGCCAGACAGATGCACTTCATGGAGCAAGCTTGTTGTCAGACCAAACTTAATATGATATGGCTAGGAAAGATGGTGCAACACACATCAATATGGAAGGTAAATGGTGCCATTGGGTACCTAACAGAAAAGCTATCAAGTAGTTATAGATTAATAATTACAGGCTTTTAGATATTTGTTTGTCAATTGTTCATTTATTACTTGACATGTTTAGTTGTGTAATCAGATTAAGTGTGAAGAACAATTACTATTTTGTCTTTCAGATTGTCCCGTCTTTGTTCATCCCATTTGTGATCCCCTTCATAAAATTTCGCATCAAATCTAAACCATTGAAAAGCTTTTCTGAGGTTAGAGGAATTGACTTGGGCTCTGTGAATCGAATTGCTCCTGAGGCAGAGAAAAAAAATGGAGATGAGGAGGAGGAAAATTCAGATCCAGATGGGGATGGAGTGGAGTTTACCAGGTCAAAAACTAGACGGGAGAAAAATCGAAAAGGAGCCAAGCACTCTTACTTCCAAGTGAACTGTTGTGGATTGGACAAGGATAGTATAAGCATTTTCCGTGCCTTTTACTATTTCCACACTGCGCCTATCACAAAGTTTTTATATCAGCAGGCAAGTGCAGTTTTATTTACATATATAAAATAGAATGATTATTCATACATCCTGAATTTCAAGTGAAACTGTACAGTATTTTATTACTTGTAGAAAGAGTTCATATTTTTTTACCATATATATTAAAGATAGTATGGCTGTTGAGGAGCACTGTTGTTAAGTAAAAGAAGGACGTAATCAAATAATGCTAAAAAAGTTTATTTTATAAATTTATTTGAACTCTTGTCATCAACCAAAGTGAAAAGTGAACGTATGCATCATAATGTTTGTAAACAATGCATAAACATTTAAATTTTGCTTTCAGATTATGTACATAGTGTTTTTGTGCATGTTCAGTTACTTCCTGATGGTAGATTTGCATCCTATGAATACACCAGATAATTTGCACATTTGGGAAATATTTGTTTGGATCTTCAGTGGCACGTCAATATTGGAAGAGGTTAGGCAGGTAAGGTGATCAGAAGCAAGAGGTTCTTTTGAATAAGTACCATTTGAAATTTATTATTACTCATTTTGACATTGTAACAGCAGAACATAAGTGTGGCATAATTCTTAAATGTTTCATAAAAGTTTTAAAACTTGACTGGGTATAAAATAAAAATTTAATAAAAATTGTGTCCACATTTATTTTACTTCAAGCATTACCAAATATTTTTCATGTGTACAGTTAAATAAACCCTACTTAAATTTCCTAATACTGTCCATACCAAAACATTTCTTCTTTGGTGAAACTTTCTTTACCTTTGTCAATAGGTCCTGACCAAAGATTCACGTTCCCTGTGGTATAAATTGGCAGATTGGTGGAAAAGTGTGTGGAATAAACTAGACCTGATCATGTACACCTTATTTATAATCTCAGTGGTCCTCAGGTTTACGTTGACTGAGGCAGACTTTGTACATGCAAGACGTGCTTATTGTCTCACCTTGATCCTGCACTTTGTGAGATTCTTGCAGGGTTTCATGATCCACAAAGATATGGGACCTAAAGTTATCATGATAAGACGCATGGTGAGTTGAAAGTTAACATTTTTGTTGACATATATGGTCAGTTACATCTCTGTTGCTGAATTAGTCTAATAAACCATAATACTATTATAGTGTGTTTGTAGCCAACTAGGTAAGGTGTGCTGGGGAAGGTAATTTAGAATGTGTGCAGACATGAAATAATCCTACAGAGACAAGAAACTATGAAGTATTATCATGATTTAAATAAAAGCTACTTTTGTTTCAGATAACAGATGTGATTTTCTTTGTGATGATTCTCCTGGTGTTCCTGCTAGCCTATGGAGTGGCTGTGCAGGCACTTTTGTATCCAAACCACAAGCGAGACTGGTCTATTTTGAAAGATGTTGTCTACATACCATATTGGCAGATGTATGGAGACCTGTTCTTGGATGAGACTTCAGGTAGGTGACATCTTTCACAATGTACATATATCAATATCTATTATCATTTATGTTGTATGGATGAATTAAGCAAGAATAATGAATAATCTCAAAGATTCAAGGACAGCTGAAGTTTGTTTTGAATGATATGAATATCTGACATTATATCTACATTGTATTTATGTATAAACCAGAAGGCATATTATATCATCCTTAGGATTCAAGGAAGAGATTTCTATTTGTTTTGTATGCACTTTAGCATGCTGTGTAATATAATGTCATGTTGAAATTTCTACAATCATTAACTTGAACCTATTGGTAGATTTAATGCATTGTGCCATGTCGTACATAGGCATTGAGAAAAAAAATTGTTACAATCTTATCTCTGTATGGTAATTGTCTTACAATGTTGAATGCTCTATTATTTCCAGGTAAAATTGACCAGTGCACCAGTAATGCCACACTGTACTTACAAGACAATGGACCACAGATGTGTCCACAGCAGAATGAATGGATGACCATTGTGTTGATGGTTATCTACATGTTACTGACCAATGTCTTGCTACTCAACCTCCTCATTGCTATATTTAAGTAAGTTTTAGAAATGATGTTCTCCTTGCTAGTTGTTCTGTTAACATTTAGCTCACTTGCAGACTAGCTTGTTCAGGCCTACCCAACTACCAGATTCAGCATTGAATGATCTTGAATTCACCAGTAGATTGGACCACACCACTCGTTTTCAAGGTGTGCATCAGTACGTGCTTCGAAGTATCAGACACGACACCGCTCTTGCCTAGTACGCGAAGTGATAGCGATGATTTTGAGTGGGGTTGGAAAGTAGTGCATCACATCTCAAAATTTGTTCTGGGCTATGATACTGTGAAATGCATACTGATGCACACCTTGAAAATGGAAAGTGTGGTCCGATATACCGGTGAATTCGGGATCATTCGGTGCCAAGTCTGGTAGTTGTTATGTGCACTGAAAGAATTAAGCAATGGACAATAAATGCAACACTATTCAAAAATGAACCACATCATTTACTTTTCCATAAAAATGTTGATTCTATCCCTTTCTTTTTTTCCAGTTACACTTTCCAGAATATTCAAGACAATTCATTAACAGTGTGGAGGTTTTACCGTTTTGGACTGATCTACGAGTATCATGATAGGCCACCGCTACCACCTCCTGCAATAATTATTAGTCATATTGTCAGGGGAATCATGTACATTGTTAAGAAATGTCGAGGAATTAAAAATTCTGATGACTCTTTCAGTGAGTAAAATGGTGTGAATGTACATGTATAGTTTACTTGTTGCTGAAATAGTATTTATGAACATAAAATTAATTGCAACAAAGTATTCAGGCAGTCAGAAGCTTTATAAATTATATAACTTTAAGTGCAACAAAGGCTATCTTAAACAGAAAGAATAAACATGTGATTAGGAGACTTAATACTTTATTGATAATTATTTCTGAAATTAATTGAAAATCAGGCAGTATAAGATTTTTTTTTTTTGACAGTAAAATTGCACAAACTCAAGGTGCAAAATTTGTATACCAGCATTTGTAGTCTAATATTATGATCAACTTTTCCCACATGTAGTCGAAATATTTGTCAGTGATAGCTAATAGAATTAAAGGGGGTTATTTTATGAATAAACTTCAATGGTTACTTGTAAATTTCAGAGAGAGTATTATCTGTAGATGAGCAAGAAAAGCTAACTGTATTTGAAAAGGCAGGAATGGAAAGTTACTTATTACGCACCCACCAAGAGAATGAAGCCCACATGGCCAATAAAATATCTACTGCTGGGGAAAGGTAAGATGAGGCTCCTGCTTGCTGAAGTGAAGTCACTTGTGCTGCTTACAAAATGGAAACGACTAATATTGACATCCTTACTTCAGATAGTGAATTTTGGTATAACAAGTGTAGACTATTTTTTAATTCACCCTGAAATTTGGGGTGCACTGTGCTGGGAAATATCCTAAGGTATGTTTCTATCTTTATTGAAACATATTTTTTTCATTTTTTTCTTTGGTATTATTTTTTATTTTCGTTTTGATATTTTTGATTTTCAAAACATGACAAGCATAAATATATCAATATTACAGTAAACTGATTGCTGTGAGGCATTACTTCATTTGCATTTTTTGTTAAATGAGAATAATTTAACTTCAGGATTGAGCAAGTGATAGATGACCTGGAGCAAATAAAAGAACAAATTGAGGATCAAAATCAAACAAGTGTTCCAGGCCTTAACAGCACTTTTAACCCTCCTGTAGAGCCAGAATTAAGGTATACTGGTACTGGTACTTCAGATAAAGTTTACAGAGCTAAGTTGGTTTCTCCGCAATCCATCTTTTTCTTCCAATTTTCTTCTTAAATTTTACATTTAATCAATAGATTTGTATTTCACACTTCATTTTTTAGCTCTTTGTTTATTAAAATGGCAAGGCCAGAGGCTTTCTTGGAAATATCTTTAAAGTTTGTAAACATCTTATTGGCTTACAATTTCACCTGATTTTTGTGTTGTCTGTTACGCTAAATAAACCTATGTGCAAGGTATTGCTATTTGGCCATCAATATGACATTTTCTTTTCAGACCAGGGCCCTGTATCTCAAAAGCATCGTGCATTGCGACCGTGCAGAAGCATCTCAATTCCATAACTCGCCCATACTCGTCCCATATAATACATTGTAGCCTCTACTTGATATAGCTATTCGCAATATGCGATGCTTTTGAGATACGGGGCCCAGGTGTTCATATCAGTACAGCTTCTTAAACCATCACGTATATAGTCCAGTTAGAGAAGTACATTCTGTCTCTGTTTCAGACAAAGTGTCAGTCCAGCAGATGAAACTGCAGACCTGCAAAAGCGTCTAAAGGAATTAGAGGACCAGGTCAGCAGGCAAACTAATCATTTGGAACAAGTCCTGAAACTGCTGCAGCAACATGGTTATGGTGGTCCTGCCGGGGACAGCAAGGAGGGAATGACACACATCTCAAGTTAGAGAAAATCCTTGTTTCTATGTGATGTTCCATCAGATACAAAAATTTCAGAGTCATTGTTCTTGTTTTCTAGAAGTATTTTACCTTTTGTACATTTTGTATATTTTTTTCCTTTTTTTATTCCTAAATCGAGATCTGCATAGTAATTCTTTACTCATTCGATTCAAAATTATAATGTCTTACATTTCTCATCTACGGTGCCCAATTAATTGATTACAAAAAGCCATTTAATGTGACATGCATGTTATATGCACTGAGCTGTGATGTGTCAATCCACAGAATGAATCTCCTGTCAAAAATTATTTGGCACTATTTGAATGAATGAAATGAAATTTATTAGGAGTACAGGAATACCGAATGGAGACGTATGGTCAAATCCAAAGATGAATACAATATAAATGCTTTTTATTTGAGTTTCACAATTGAGCATGTGCCATATAAGATATGGTGCCAGTATGTACTTTTGTTGTATGTCAGTATACACCTGTGGTTTTGATTGAAGTGAGATTTAGATAATTTTTTTCATGTTATACATAGTGCTGAGAGGAACTTTTTATAGATACTGTTGTTACTGAGTATCAGAATTATATTTAAATAAGCTACTTTTAATATCCCAATCAAACCATCATTCTCAGGAAACCAAAGACATTGTAAAAGTGCACATAGAAAGAAAGCATGTTTGTTGGTCAAAAATTAATGGAATTGATTCCTTAGTTTTCTCTAATTGCATGTAACACTTAAAAATGATTCAGATAAAGAAAGTTGGCTTAATGCCATACCATAATATGTTTGGAGCCAGGAATGATGAATCTTGAAAAAAATTTTGAAACTTGTATTTTACACAGTAAAGTCTAATTAACATATTTGGAATTTAAACTATAAATAGATTTATTATTGTTGTTGTTGTACAGTAATAAGTGATGTGATTATAATTACAGGTTCATCACATTGTCACATGTCAATTTATAAGACAATTTTTGACTTATCAAAACAGAATGAGGTTTAAGCACTGTGATACAAGTTTTAATATCATTCCAGTGTCATTGTAACATTCACAGGATATGTGTAATGTAACATTGCAGTAAAAATGAAGGCAGTTGTTGCTGTTACAGTAGTTATATGGACATTTTTACATGCCTTATATTTAAGCATTAAAAATATTTTGACAACACTTTTTTACAATGAAAATCAAGCAATAAGTTTACATTCATGATGAAAATAGTTCAGGGAAGATTTTAACATTCCATGAGAGATAGAGGTGATTCGTTCAAGGTATCCTATCCAAGTTTTTCCACCAAATTTTTATGATCAAATTGTGTCACAAATTTTTCTGTTGCTATGCCAAGCCCATTATAGTTGATTGCATACAATTAATGAAGTGCCCATTGCAGGTAATCACGTAAATGTGGTCTTCAAACAATTTAGTTGATTGTTAAGTACAGGAATATGCTAGAAACTTAGTGAGTGCTTGCATGTGATTCTGGTGCTTGGTAAATGGAAGCTACTTTTGTCTCTGCAAACTGTTTGAAGGCCATTGAAGACAAGGATAACAACATTTTCCTCCAATAAATGTATTAGTGATGAAAATTACACTCCCATAAGAAAATCTTAATCACCAATTTGATAGATATAATGTTTTTCAGGCATATTATAAATTTTTTGTACTGGCCTAAGATCAACCCGTCCCCCTTTTCATATATTAAATAACATAATACTATACAAGTTGAATATTACCATCTTTTATAATAATTTTTAATTATAAGTGTTTATTTGGAAAATGTTTTGTTGCTTGATAGTCAACCTTTAACAGTATAATTGTTTAGCAACGGAATTCTGAAAGAATGTTAACTTATGTTAATCAGAATATATCATAACTGTGTAGTTACTTTTTAGTTATGGTTTGAATACTCTATTTTAATTTATATATAAATATCTGTTACCTTACCTATTTTGCCTCCTACCTTAAATCACTTTTCCTTGAGAAAATTTGCTTGTGACATTCCATATATTGATATATTATCTCATATTTATATTTTTTCATAGTATTGAGGGCCAATTTGTTGAAATATCATTATATCTTGCTTTATTTATTTTAATATCAGATGTACATGTCACCTGTTAAATAAATAAGTAGTTGCGTTTTAGATTATAATAAGGGTAAACTCTTTAACTTGTATCTTTTTTGGTAAAGCCTAGCTTTGACAAAAATTTCTTATATTTGTATGCTTTTACTTCATCAAGGTGCAATAGCCATTACTTTAAACTTATAGTCTATACACTTATAGTCAATTCTTTAAACTTGTATATATGTACTAATGTTAAAGTTAGATGTTTAACAACTTTACTTTTTTATAATTATCTGTGGATCTTTTTCTGAAATTTAAGTCCACAGTTATTTCACATTGAAACTGACTTTCTTAACCTTCCAATAATCTAGTTATTCTAAATTAAAACCCACTTTTGTACATGGGTAATTTACACAGTATCTTTCAACTGTGATATATTGCATTCTGCAGATTTATAGTAAATAAAATTTTAGCATCTAACACATTGACTGATGATACTTTTTTGTCATCCTTGATCAAATGAACGACATTGATGAAACCCATAATGCTAATATTAGATTAAATATACCTCCTCCCCTTTACCTTAATTTCAATAGCACAAAAATGTTAATATACTCTAAGACCCCATTTCCAGAGATTAGATCGATCTACTTTAGATCGACCTAACTCCCTGGGGGTTCACGCTAAATAGCTGTCAGCCGAGCGGACACGAAAGTTAATTACCCCCTTACAGCTTGTAGTAGGCGGGACGGACATTTAAGCCTGATTATCTGACAGTAATCTAGTGAGACTCCCCACGGGGATAGATCTATCTAAAAGCTCTGGGAATACAGCCTAACAACATGTTATGGGTATTTAAATATTATCACTTCTTAAAAAATAAAAGAAAAATATATTAAGTGGTTCTTCATTTCTGTATTAGGTCAACATTTTTATCATCTTTCACTCCATTTGACAGCTTAACTGCCACAAAAATTGTTTATATTTTCTTAGTGTCTCATCCCTTTTAAAGAATGACATTGAACTGTAATTAGCCAATTTACAAATATGCCAATTAATAGCCATACACTTAAATTGTTTACTGTACGAATGACAAGACTAAGAATTATTTCCATATGCATAATAATTTAATTTTTATTCTGAATTAGTTATAATAAAAACCAATGTTATGAAACTAGTTATATTTACAATATACCTTATCTATCAAATTGGCTCATAAAATAAAACACTTTCCCTCAACTTTTTCCCCCCAATTATCTACAGTGCCCTTCTTGCAAATCATAATATATTTGTTATAGGTCACACTGGGAAACAAGTACAAGCTGGAAACAAGTAGCAATTTCAATACTTGCGAAGTCTTTACAGGTCATTGCCACTGAGGTGAATAACTACAGGTTTTTTTCCTTTATGGATATTTTTAATGTGCTTTACACAATTTGACTTCAAATTAGTCCTGTGCTCACAGTAGTTGCACTTGTATGGCCTCTTCCCTACTTCTTTGTGCTGGTAACGGACATGCTCGACAAACGCATTTTTCAGCTTAAAGAGAAAAAAAATTTTATGTCATCAAACAATCATGTCATCAAACCCATTGTGTAGCTATACACATATGGGATATTAATTTATATATTATTCCATGTATTGTGTGCATATGTCAGTAGAAAAAATAAAAGATTTATTCCCAACCTTCACAGGTTTCCCAACATGTAATGAAAATTCTATATTACCCCATTTTGACTGACAGCATGTTGACTGACTTCAAAATGTGATGTTTCGTTTTTATATGTGGTAAGTCCAAAAAAGGATATAAATTGGCACTGTCAAACAGTAGCCATCATAAAGCCTCACATGCCCATTTTGACACATTGTCAAGAGTAAGTCACCCCCATGCAGAAACCCCACCCCCACAAGTATGTCACTGCCTGGGTCAAAGAATATCAAAAATCAAAGAATAACAACTTTTCAAAAAAAAAAAAAAAAACATGTCTTCATACATGGCTATTTCATAGTACTGATGTTAAATTTTCTTTTGTGAAAAAATTGAGTCATGCACTCCAAGAAAATGCACTCTCAGGTGCAAAGGAATGGCAAAGAGCCAAATTAGAATGCACCGAGGCCAACAGCCATCTTTTTCTGAAAAAGTGGACCATGAAACCTTCGTCTTCCTAGATAAACTTTTACCCAGAGGGGACCTTTCCCCAGCAAAAAGGGCAGTTTGTACAATCACCTGAACCTCCCCTGGCTATGGACTTGGTACATCCCTGAAGATGGGTCTATCAATCACTGACTTAGTTTTCATAACATTAATTGGCGCTAAGAACCAAGAGTGTCACTTTCTATGTATAAACAAAAGAACCCCAATATAAAAATACTTACCCGTGTTTTAAAGCTGCAATGTGGGCAATGAAAATCATATGTATCTTTGTGGACCTTCAGGTGTGTTTTCAGAGAGCCTTGCTTTAATTTTTTTCCACAGATGTCACATACAATATCATATCCTTCTGAAAAAGGAAATTGTTGAAAAATGTAATCATCGTATATCACAAGCTTACATGTATATCTGCAACAAGTGAATGATAGGATTTATCCCAAGAACAGAAACAACACATCTAATAAGACTTGCCACAGAAATAGATTAGTTTTGGCATATTTGAGACAACAATTTCTTCAAAACAACAATCTAAAGTTTCATCCACAGCAAGCACGGGTAGTAATCAGGTTGCAAACCCTGGGTTTGGAGGGTAACGTAGACAATCTAGGATAAAGTTTTTTTTTCCTCAGTGGTTTCTGCATCCTTAAAATCCCCATAATATGTATATGTATCTGATGGTTAACATGCACATATTATTGTGTATTTTGAGAAAATCCAAATTATCTGCCAATGCCATAGGAATGTATGAGTGTCAACTTCGAGCAGGGAGCTACAATTATGATTGTTTCGGAGTGTTTCTTCAATACCCCTACATATACATTTTAAACTAAAGAGACAGTTGTAAAATAACTTACTATAAAGCTGCATTCAAATAATCATTGCTCACCGATATGTGCACGCTTGTGCCGTTTCATTCCGCTATTTGTCACACATTTGTAGTCGCACACATCACAACTGTAAATTTTACCTTTGACTGGCAGTATACCGTGTTTTTTATACTGATGACCTGTGAGAAAAAATTGCAATAAATCATACAAGCATCTTAAATCATTTTAAATGATTTTGTCACAAAAACAAATGGGAATTAATGGCAATAATTCCCCACAGCTGCCTTTCTCTCTCTCTCCATTTCACTACCACACAGCAGTTACACAAAGTTGGGTGGGAGGGTGGCAGAAGAGCCATTTTCATTTCTTCTCAAAGAATTGAAGTCAGTTTTTACTTTACCAAGGTAAGTCTAGTTTAATTTTTCATTTTTTTTTTTTTTTTTTTTTTGAAATAACAATTTTATCAGTCTTAACTGAGACTTTAAAACTTAATGAGACAAAATATTCTTACAATATTCATTTCAAATAAAATTTTCTTGCAATGGTAAATAAGCACTGTTTTTATAGTACAGTACTTGCAAAACTCACAAAATGTAAAACATATCAATTAATAAATCCGAAACAATAAAATGACTAATAAATTAGGCATATATTGTTTTTAAGGAAATACAATTAACAGTATTACTTTTGTAAATAAAAGCACAATATTATATTACTTTTACAATGTTTAAAAAGACTGGATAGATCCTAAAATTTATAAAATATAATAGATGTAAATAACTCAATACAAAGTAAAAATATATATATAAACCAACTTTCAATTGTGATTCTGGAATCAGTAGAATATTCACAATGAGTGCACAAAAATGACATGGTTTCTCCTCTGCATCTCTTCAGATGAGACTTCAAAGCAGTTTTATCTTTTGCCTTTTTGCCACAATGTGGGCAATTGCATACATAACGCATTTCATGTTGAACCAGCTTATGGGCAGTCAGTGACCTAAAATTTAAATTGAAAAGTTTTTTGCAATGCTTAAAGTCATATTAAACAAAATAAAACTTATTCCGAGAATATGGGGTTGAATATATATAAATATATATCAGGCTGCCACTGATATATAGACAAAATTGATTGAGCTTTAAGTAATAATATCTAATATCCAGAGGAACTGGAACAGAATTAAAACGGCTAGAGGCAGCGGCAGATGACGGCTATATGTACAGACACATCATTGTCTGTTCATAAAAAGCAATTACATGCTTTTGTACGTGGCAAACTAAAGCAGGTCAATTTTATGCAAACTCATGCTATATACTATATATACAAATGCAATAGAATTTACAAAGATAGTAAAATAAAAATATTTCAACTGCTGAACAAGATGTATTACCCCCTAGAAGAGTACTTCCTATTGCACAGTGAGCAAGTAAAATTCTTCTCATTTAAATGTTTGGCCTTCAGATGACTCTCAAGATTAGGCAAGTGGTATGTCAGGTAGGAGCAGTTATCATGTGTACAACGTAGAGCTTTTTCTTCATCAATCACACCATGCTTGGAGTACCTGTGTTGTAACTGCTCTTTCTCTGTCCTATACACTTTATTACATATTTCACAAGAATATTTTTTGCGCTGATCATAATGAAGATAAATGTGCCTTTTGAGATGCTGTTTTACTGTAACGGCATGGCCACATATGCAGCACTTGAATGGAGGATCAGTATTGTGCTCCTCTTTCAAATGAAGTATAATGTCTCTGCTTGTTGAGCATGCCACATGACAACCCTCTTCTGTGCAGATGTAGAGGTTTTTTTCATGGGTTGTTTGTTGATGCAATCTATATAATTCCTTGATCGTGAACATCTCATAACAATCAGGGCAATGGAAGGTCTCTTGAAATATTCCCAGTCCATGACTATCTGCCTGATGTTCAACAAGTTCTTTTGCATTCTCAAACTGTGTACCACAAAGTTCACACCTATTAAATATTTTTGTTAATTCAGTTGATATAACATTCCTATCCTCTCCTTCAAATATGGGAACCTTCAACTGAAACGGAATATTTTTTAAGGTCTGTTTGCCATTCAAAGTTTTTTTATCACCTATCCGACCCTTTGAAAACTTCTTTGCTGTTTTCTTGTTGTGATTCAGTTGAATATGTCTTACAAATGAAGACCTAGAGATGAAACCCTTATAGCAAGTGTAGCACACATGGTGTGAGGTAGTTGTGTAAAATGGACTTTTCCCTCTGTTTCTTAACCTCCGGTTAAAACTTACTCGCGTCGATTTGAGCAAAGACCCAGAGCATTTTTGGGCTAAAAAGTGAAGACATTTTTCTTTTATATTGGGAAAGGAAGATTTGCAACTTACACAGAAAAAGTTGCTCTTAGAATTACTTCCAATCCCAGAATCTGTCGGAGTCAATTCAGACATGTTCTGAGTGCCACTGGGCCAACCCACCTCTTCTAAGCGCTTGCATATTACCGCGGTTGCAAGCAATTTACCATCATCCATGTTTTCTACCATTGCCTCTTTTTCATCGCAGTTTAATGAATTACTGAATGCCATTTGGTTTTGTATGATATGCTGTTTTTTTAAATGATCTGAACCATTCACAGGAAATACAGAGTCAGAAGAATTAGAATCATCCATCATATCAGTGCCACATTCAGATCCTATGTCATTGTTTGCTGTGGGCATGGCACTCAGAATGTGTTCTGTTCCACCAATCTCTCTCTTACCAAACTGCCCTGTCTCAAATTGATGGACCAAGTCCTGTACCTCCAGTTTTATGGCCGTTTTCATCAAGTCTCCCAAGCAACTAACTGGCACATGGATCTCTTTACCGTACATATAGTCTAGCACATAGCTAAACATCTCTTCACTTATATCTGAGAGAACGACACCACAATCGTTAGTTACCAACAAGCGGAAATAGTCAGCAAAATATTTTGAGTAGGAGACTAGAATAAGTTTATGGGCACTGTACCATTTCTTTCCCACACGCACCATTGCATCACAATATCTATTGTTACTTCTTAAAACTGAAGCAGTTTGAAAAAAAGAAACCTTTGCTTCACTGCTGGTGCTGATGATAACTTCACCCATCATCCAAATTCTGAAAAAGGAAAAAAAAATTAGTATTTGAAAATGATTAATATGTAAATTATGCAATTTGATAGTTGAAAAAAGTACAAAAATACTTTACATTTTACTTTTTGAGGGAATTGAGTTTGAAAATAGAATTATAGTTAACACAATGTTATATTGTTATTTTTAGGAAAAAATTTTAATTACAATGTCACTGTAACCTCCCCAGCAGGCAAACGACATTGATTCTACGTTGATTCAACATTGATCCACCAAAATTAACGTTGATTCAACGGTGAATCAATGTCGTTTGTCTGCTGGGTCAGGCTTTGGAGCTTGCCTAAGATACAACTCACTCTCACTAAATGCTTAGCCCTGTAGAGGTATTCGTTTTGTTTTCGAAAGGTTATGAGCTACGAAGAAATTTTAACGTCACTGCTAAAAACTCGTCCCCTTTTGTCTTCTTTGTAAATGTAATATGACAAACAGGCTAATATACGACGTAGTTATGCACTATGATGTCTTTTCCATGCAAATGCTGAAAACTCGCCCGCTTTTGTCTTGTTTGTAAATGCAATGTAGCTTATCTTGAATTGATTGCAGCTAACTGCAAGAAGAGAAGAGCATTTATGCAACAAGCAATAGTTATATAATCAGCTACTAATTTCATTTGAACATTTCCAATAAAATGGTATATAGAAGAAAAATAAAGATTAGAATTTTACTTTGGGATATTTCAACAGCTATATGCATCTGTTAAATTGATATGAAAATACATCAACTGTATTTCAAAATGATAAAGCCTGGTTTTATACAGAGTGGCATCGTTTCCGGTAAAATTATCCGCGGAAGTACGCTTTGTTGCGAGCCAAACGTTTGAGCTTGTATATTTAAAAGCAGTCGTAAGTATATTAATCTTTATGAGTGCTTGTTAAGAGATGATTTTTTTTTCTTTTGCTTTAAGGGTTTAGCTTATTTGCTGTATCACTAAGTCTTTTCACTATACACTATCATCGCCTCTGCCAAGTACCGTGTCGACTAGTGATAGTGTTGCTGTGGTGGTCAGACCATCGTGCAGACAATCTCGACTGTCTAGTGTCACCATGATTTAGCGTTTAGCCAAAAAATCACGTAAAACTACCCCAGACTGCCACACTAGTGAAGCATAACTAAACAAGGCAGCAAAGCTGTCAAATGTACAGACAAAAAGCAGGAAATAACTATGCACAAAATAGGCTACTGTCAATTCTGATGCAAAAGTACATTATGTTAAACTGCAAATTCAACATCAAATTTTAATTATGCTCAACANAAAATTTTTCTGATATACCTACATGTGTACCCTTCTCCTTCCACACACACACACACACACACACACACACACACACACACACACACACACACTGCCACAGGGACAGTTAAACAAGGTAAGCTTGTGAAACAGAATCACAGAGAATAAACAATAAAAATCCAAAAAGAAAGGATGCTGAGCTCAAACTTGGTACATATTCTTACCGTCTGGTGTCCTGTAAAATGCCACTTTTGATATTTTAAGACAATTGATAATATCCATGAATATAATATATAATAGTATATATTATATTCAGAGGTAACTTGGTAGTGGGCAGTCATTAGACAATCAGGATGAATCCTAAATATATTGACCGGGTCACTTAGCATGACTGCATAAAAGAGGGCGAGTCGCCTTTGAAATCTTTGGAAGAGGAGTTTGACCTCAGAGGGCATATATCCGTATTGGGGCTAGGGCAGGTACCAGTGTATTTCCTGAAGAGAATTCCTGATTGATCTATGTAGGTTTCCCAATTTCAGTTGAATATCATACCATGTTTTTGGTCTCTTTAATTTCACACTAAATTTTCTCTTTTACCTATATAGGCAGAAGATTATTTAAACTTTGTAAATTTTGGAACTCTTTGCCAATGGGGTAGTGCTGCTAAAAAAATGTGGTGGATTGCTTAAACTTCTATGATAAATGTGTGTGGCTTTGTCACATTATATCAGTCTTCACAGGGCTTGATCACCTCTGTCAGGGATAGTGAGCCATTTACTGTGGAATGTTAAAAGACCAGGAAAATGCAGAGTGCTGAAAGATGCATTTACATTAAATATTACAATACATGATAATATAAACTGTGATTAAATGGTGCTGGTACAGCAAGAGGGGTCGAGTGGGCTGGATGGGTGGCCATGTTATCAAGGCTATATGGCTTCTGTCCCATGGCTTCTTTTGGGGACCAACATTTGGGGACAAATCTTGTTTCCATCAACACGACACTGTCTTTTGTAACGTATGCATGACCTACTCCTTTCTCTCTGTTTTCTGTTAGGAATTACAAATATTTTGAATTTTTAAAAAGTATTTTAAAAGAAAAGTGTATTACAGTAATTTTTAAAAGTGTTGGCAGTGCAGCTGGCTACACAGCTTACAAGCTTTCATCATTTTGCTTTAGTGCATGTGTGGCAGACTCTGAAATAAACAGTTCCCTTTAAAAGAACAATGCAGCTCAAAACTTGTAACATGTTACATTTGCCAGCATATAGTTTATGTCAGCTAGCAGTAATTAGTATAGTTCACAACTTGATAAAACCAATTGTTTCATGAGTATTTTCTCTTTGAGGACATGTGAACGTAAGGGTTATCAAGGTAAGTTAAGTGATTTGCAATCTACCTGCTGCAGGATTCCAAATCACAGACAATCATTGGCAGTTGAAGTCAATTTTTCAGATTTATTTAGTGGAGTGTATACTGCAAAAGTGCCTCAAGGTTTAATGTTGCAGTAACAAAGTTTGCCTTACATTTTCAAACTCAATCTCCCAAAAACTTTAAAGTAAAATATTAAAATGTACTTTTTTTCAACCTTCAAATTGCATCATCAATTTACATGTAAATCATATTCAAATACTTAATTCTTTTTTTTTTCCTTTTTCAGAATTTGTATTGTGGATGATGGGTGAAGTTATCATCAGCACCAGCCTTAAAGCAAAGGTTTCCTTTTTTCAAACTGCTTCAGATTTAAGAAGTAACAATAGATATTGTGATGCAATTGTACATGTGGGGAGGAAAATTTACAATGCCCATAAACTTATCCTAGTCTCCTACTCAAAATATTTTGCTGACTATTTCCGCTTGTCGGTAATTAACAATTGTGGTGTCGTTCTCTCAGATATAAGTGAAGAGATGTTTAGCTATGTGCTAGACTATATGTATGGCCAAGAGATCCATGTGCCAGTTAGTTGCTTGGGAGATTTGTTGAAAACGGCAAAAAAACTGGAGGTACAGGACATGGTCCATCAAATTGAGAAAGGGCAGTTTGGTAGGAGAGAGATTGGTGGAACAGAAAGCATTCTGAGTGCCATGCCTCCAGAGGATCCCACAGCAAACAATGACATAGGATCTGAATGTGGCACTGATATCATACAAAACCAAATGGCATTCAGTAATTCATTAAACTGCGATGAAAAAGAGGCAATGGTAGAAAACATGGATGATGGTAAATTGCTTGCAACCGCGGTAATATGCAAGCGCTTAGAAGAGGTGGGTGGGCCCAGTGGCACTCAGAACATGGCTGAATTCAATCCGCCAGATTCTGGGATTGGAAGTAATTCTAAGGGCAACTTTTTCTGTGTAAGCTGTAAATCTTCCTTTCCCAATGTAAAAGAAAAATGTCTTCACTTTTTAGCCCAAAAATGCTCTGGGGTTTTGCTCAAGTCGATGCAAGTAAGTGTTAACCGGAGGTTAAGAAACAGAGGGAAAAGTCCATTTTACACAACCACCTCAAACCATGTGTGCTACACTTGCTATAAGGGTTTCATCTCTAGGTCTTCACTTGTAAGACATATTCAACTGAATCACAACAAGAAAACAGCAAAGAAGTTTTCAAAGGGTCAGAAAGGTGATAAAAAAACTTTGAATGGCAAACAGACCTTAAAAAATATTCCGTTTCAGTTGAAGGTTCCCATATTTGAAGGAGAGGATAGGAATGTTATATCAACTGAATTAACAAAAATATTTAATAGGTGTGAACTTTGTGGTACACAGTTTGAGAATGCAAAAGAACTTGTTGAACATCAGGCAGATAGTCATGGACTGGGAATATTTCAAGAGACCTTCCATTGCCCTGATTGTTCTGAGATGTTCACGATCAAGGAATTATATAGATTGCATCAACAATCAACCCATAAAAAAACCCTCTACATCTGCACAGAGGAGGGTTGTCATGTGATGTGCTCAACAAGCAAAGACATAATACTTCATTTGAAAGAGGAGCACAGTACTGATCCTCCATTCAAGTGCTGCATATGTGGCCATGCCGTTACAGTAAAACAGAATCTCAAAAGGCACATTTATCTTCATTATGATCAATGCAGAAACTTTCGTTGTGGAATATGTAATAAAGTGTATAGGGCAGAGAAACAGCAGTTACAACACAGGTACTCTAAGCATGGTGTGATTGATGAAGAAAAAGCTCTACGTTGTACACATGATGACTGCTCCTACCTGACATACCACTTGCCTAATCTTGAGAGTCATCTGAAGGCCAAACATTTAAATGAGAAGAATTTTACTTGCTCACTGTGCAATAGGAAGTACTCTTCTAAAAGGTATTTTATTGGGTGATAAATAATTAACTTAATTATCTTTGTTATTTTTATTGCACGTGAAAAATGACAATTGAGTTGGTATATAATTGTCTTTGTCAAATAAAAATGGTTCCTGAGAGGTGTGCACATGTGTGCATGTTATGTTGGTAAGTATGTTCTTTGTAAGGGAGCCTGACTTCAGATTTTTGTGAAACCGGAACCTGGACCAAAGTTCATATTTTTGTAATTCAATCAATTTTATTTTTCGCTGAGCAGCTTAATATATATATATATATATATATATATATATATATATATATATATATATATATATATATACACATACTGGGGTGGCGCTAGCATTTTTTTTTAGTTTAGCCAAAGTGCTACTTTTTCATCACTTTTTTCTTCAAATGGCTTAAATTTGACTAAAACAAGTCAAATCAACTGTATTTTGTTTAGCCAATTTAAGTCAGTTTTAGCATTTGGCTAGATTGGCGAGTGTTAGTGCTACCCCAGATATATATACTTAACTTGGTCTTATCAAATGTGGTTTTATTTAAAACTCAGAATTTTATTTGTAGCTCACTGGCCGGCCATAAAGTGATTCAACATGAAATGCGTTATGCATGCAATTGCCCACATTGTGGCAAAAAATTGAATGATAAATCCATGTTAAAAGTTCATCTGAAGACATGCAGAGGAGAAACCAAGTCTTTTTTGTGCACTCATTGTGACTATACCTGTCACTGGGAAAGTTATCTTGAAGGTTGGTTTTCAATATTGTTACCTTGACGTGACAGTTACTATTTATATGAACAGTTATGTAATATATATCATGTGTGCTGGATATTTTAATTCCATGAGATTGAAGTAGCAGCTTTCAGAGCTGAAAGATACAATGGAAAAAATAACTACTGCAGTATCTCCACCTTAAATGTCCTGAACTTAAAGAATCTTTTTAATTGAGAAACTTAAAAACTTTTTTAAAGAAATTTATTGAATCAAGATTTCAATGTTAATTGATTTCTTTTATGGCATAGAACTATTTAAAGATGCAGCTTTGATTTTACAGTAATATATACTGACAGTCAATGAAAAGGCATCAGGAAACTTTCTTGTACTTTTTTACCGAGAATCGATTCCAACCATATAAATGAGTACAAATGCACTTGTTTGGTCATAAGAGAGTGCGCTGACCACCATTTCATATTTCACATATTTCACACTATAACTGTTATTGTACCACCAGCGTTAGCGCTGGCGGTACACATGGTTTCGGTCCCGTCCGGATCGTTCCGCCGGCTCCGCCGGCTCCATTGGCTCCGCCGGCTCCGCCGGACGGCTACCGTTACCGCTTCTCCTCCTAGACGGTAAGGGCCCCCGTACCCATCTCATGGATTTAGGTCACCTATAATCTCAACTCGTTCCACGTAAAATTTGGGCTTTGTCGGTATTGGGGTCTGGGTGTGGCACTCATTGCAATGCACCCTTGTCTAAANCTGTACATTTGACAGCTTTGCTGCCTTGTTTTTATTATTATTATTCAGAGTACTTAAATAGAGCTTCAGTTGGAAAACCAGTCTCATAAGATTCTTTTTTTATTTATTTATTTAAGTTATGTAAGTTTAGTAAAATTTTGATTTTTTACATATTGGTATTTTCAACATGTGACTTAGAACTCCCATGGTCCTGAAGCTCTTTGCTAGTTGTAAACATTTTCTGAAAGTCCATTAGACTGGTTGTTTCCCATAAACCTATCCTACTAGCAGGATCGATCTAACTCTGAGGGGATTATCTCTAAATTTTTGGTTAGTATATGATTAAATCTGAAACAATAAGAGATGTGTTAGTCTTTTAATCTGATTGCATTCGGGAGGAGTCCCTGTGGAGTTAGTGTGCTTTAGCTATTGTGACCTAACTAATTCTGGACAGCCCCTCATTCATATTCATACACAGACGGAGAAATCACGCATGACCTTCTTTGCCTCAATAACCCACATTTAGGATGCACATATATTTTATTATAATTTATTTTTTACCCAGGCCACCAGTATGTAAAACATGGTATACTGCCCACCAAAGGTCAAGTTTACAGTTGTGATATGTGTGACTACAAGACTGTAAGGAAGGAAGGGATGAAGCGTCATAAGACTACTCATATAGGTGAGACTAGAACTATGAGTATTTGCAGTTTATTAACAACAGATTTTTGGGCAGAATGGTAGGTGATTTAGCATGAATCTTGACACTTTCTGTAAAGACACAATGTGCACTCAAAATAGTATGATTAAGTTCTTGGTGCAAGTTGAGTACATGGAGTAAGCACTTATATAGCACTTATCTTGGCTTTCTTCATCCCAATCGTTCCCATTATATAGGTGCTGAGCTACTGAATGTCCCATTTTAGTGTGCATCAGTAGGCTTCCTAACTACCACACATGATTGAGTACTATGTGATAAATCCTGCTTTCCATTTCCAGAAGGGGCAGAAAGAGATGAATGTAACATCTGTGGTAAAACTGTTAAGCAAGGTTCATTGAAAACACATATGAGGGTCCACAGAGACACATATGACTATCATTGCCCATATTGCAGTTATAAAACAAGGGTAAGTATTTTTATGTTTTTTCTAATTTCTTGTTCCTAGCTAGGATCCGATAGTGACACTTGTGCAGTTAACTTACATACTTTGGTAGAAAAAAAGAAGTCATTGATTTTTTGTTGAATTAAGATTAACATTTAATGAAAATTTGTAGTTTGTCAGTCAATGTTTCCACAAAACGATATGAAATATTTCATAACAGTATTAAAATTCACCTTGAAATGCCATTTATTTTCTGTAGACACATGCACATAAATGTGGAGCAGTATGTAAAATGTACTAGTTAATGAAATGCTTTTCCTTAAAAATAAATTTCTTTTCAAGACGAGCACTCCTTTCATCATGCACGTTCGTTACCAGCACAAAGAAGTTGGGAAAAGGCCATACAAGTGCAATTACTGTGACCACAGGACAAATTTGAAATCAAATTGTGTAAAGCACATTAAAAACATCCATAAAGGAAAAAAACCTGTAGTTATTCACCTCAGTGACAATGACCTGTAAAGACTTGGCATGTATTGAAATTGCTACAAGTTCCAGCTCGTACTTTACCAGTGGGACTTAAAACAAATATTTTAGGATTTGCAAGAAGTGCACAGTGACTGTAGAAAATTGGGAAAAGAAGAATGGAAACTGAAATCGAGAGATAGTGCTTTAATTGTATCAGCCAGTTTGATATTACAGTATATGGTGAATATTAATGGTTTCTTAACATTTTATAATAATTAATTCAGAATAAAAATTTTATTTTTCCTGCATATGGAAATATTTTTAGTCTTGTCATTTGTTCCATTAACAGCAGACATGGGGAAACTGTTGCTCCTACCTAAAAAGCCAGAGGACTGACTTAATTTTTTATATCCCAGGTCCTCTGGACTGACAAGGTTTATTTGAAAATGTAATACATATTAAATAATAAATCACATGTAAACATTGACTAAGGGAAATTAAACACTTAGTCCAGACCAGCACAGAATTGGGAAGACCTGCAGACTTTCTGTAATGCAGGTCCTCCTGACCTTGTTAACAAATAATTATACGACTTTATGAATTGGTATACATTTGTAAATTGCCTAATTGTACCACCAGCGTAGGCGCTGGCGGTACACATGGTTTTAGTCCCGACCCGCATGTTCCGCCGGCTCCTGCGGCTCCGCCGGCTCCTCTGGCTCCGCCGCCATCTCACCGTTACCGCTTCTCCTCCTAGACGGTAAGGGCCTCCATACCCATCTCTTGGATTTAGGTCACCTATAATCTCAACTCATTCCATGTAAAATTTGGGCTTTGTCAGAATTGGGGTCTAGTTGTGGCACTCATTGCAATGCACCCTTGTCCAAAAATGGCATAATTAAATGCTAATTATCTACCCTACAGAAGGAATTATGGGAAAAATTTCTACAGACGGCTATCCGAAAGTCATATGTGGAGATTTCAAATATGCCCTTGGATTTGACCTTTGACCTTTATTTCAAGGTCAAACGAGCCAAAATTTTCAAAAAAACGAATTTTTTTTCGAAAAAAAAATTATTTGCGCTGATATTCAGAAACTACACAGACCTAACCTATAATATTATTGGAAGGTGCTACCCTTCGGGTCATCTTTCATCTCTGTGAATTTGGGGTCAACCGGTGCATTTTCCTGGGAGTAGCGGCCATAATATAA